GACTTTTTGTAATGATGACTACGATGTATGTACATATGAATGTAATTAATGCTGAATCTCCACATCGGATTGACTGTTGTTTCGATATAAAATTTTATTACAAATAAGCAATATTTATTTTTAAAGTTAAAGTTTTCGAAGACCTTGGCTTTGGGCTCTTGATCTTCAGCTAACTCTTGGATCCTCTCCCCTTTCACGCTTAACCTGTATGTCTTTATTTCTGTTTAAATTCCATTTGTTTCCAACACAAAAACTACAACAAATTAATTAAATTCTCTTTGTTTTTCATTTCCCCTTTTTCTTTTTTCTTCCCCACTCTACCCGACATATCCCTTGTTGTTTTTTTTGTTTTCGCAACAAAACAAAAAAAAAAAACGAAACAACGACAACAAAACAAACACACAACCAACCTTCCAACACTAAAACCAACAAATCAACAATGAAAACACCTTTTCAATTTTGCAACATGATTTCGCTTGAAAAAAAAAAAAAACTCCAACGGTAAATCTACTCTTACTGCAATTTCACACTTCCTTGCAAACAAAAAATCTACCACAATGAACAAAATGTATATAAATCCACCAACCACACACACACATGCAACTCTTTGACGCACAAAACCAACAATTTCTACAACAACAACCCCTCTGAAAACACCGAACACCATAAAACCGACCTGTGACCCTCTTGTAGATAAAAGTTTTGAAGATTCGATCCAAGAATTAAATAATTTAATTGGCGAATTAGACTCGTTTCAACGCGAGATCGATGCCAACAAGCATTCTACAGCAGCTACACCATCAACAACAACAACAACGACGCCGACAGCATCAACAGGGGACAATTGCGGCGATCGGCTCTTCCCCTTTATCAGCACGAGCAGTAGCAGCGGCGTTGGCGAAGACATGGGAAATAACACAAAGCCAAAAGTGTCGGAATGTGGCAACACTGGCGATTTGACGCCCTTAACAGTTATATGCGCGCCGCAACCACCCAAATCGCCGCAGTGCGCTAGCAATCAAACGAGTGGCTGTGGCACTGATCTGTCCGATGCTGCCTCCGATGACATTGCCGCGGATGTGGGCTCTCTAACGAGACTAAATAACAACGCCAGCGCGAACGGGAGCACCAACAACGGCCAGCACAACACTAGCGCTGGCAGTAGCAGAGACAATAATGGCCGCACATTGCAGCAGTACAATTCCGATTCGGAGCTAAGTCGTTGCTATGTAAGCGAAACGAGTTCGCTGGCGGGCGGCTACGAGAATCTGACGTTTGCGCACTTCGCCACAGCGGCTTCGTCATCGTCGATAGCCGCTTCATCGGGCGTGGATGAGCCCGCCGATGTGGGCAGCGTTATCGGCGACAGTCGCTCGCTGATGGCAGTGTCATCGACAACGACGGCCGACGATTGCGTATCGCACGCCTCGTACAGCATGGATAATGGCAGCGATGGCGGTAGCAATGTTGTAGTGATCTATGATCATCAGATACCCATCACGCCGGATATTGACTACGTCAAGCAGAATTCGGAGATAGTCGTGCTGCGCACCAAGGATCCGTTGCAGCAGCAGTTAGCGCGTCAGGATATGCGCGAGCTAACGCAGTTGCCGGCCAACCTGTGCGCGTCATTGAACGCGGCCTCCGCGCCGGGATCGAGCATGATGTCTGCGTTGGCGCTATCGTCGTCGTCGTCGTCGTTGTCGTGCTCAGTGCCCACCTCGCCGCCGCACACCGCGACCGTAGCGCCTGCCAAACAGCGGCTCTCCTCGTTCCGCGCTTCCAGCGAACAACAACTGCAGCTGCTGGGCTGCAGCGAGAATAACAACAGCGGCAGCGAATTGTCGCTTCTGCGAGCGCCCAACCAACATGCTTACGCAGGTACGCCGCAAACGCAAGCGCCAGAAGAGAGTAGGGGAGGTAGTAGGAAGGTGGCAACACCAAATGCACACAACAACAGTGATACCATAATACGCCGCAAAGCAGCATTGCCGCCAAAGCCAAGTTTGAGTATTTTCAATGGCCAAGCGGCCGATAATTTACTAGAATCTAGTAGCACGCGTAAGAGTAGTAGTAGTGGTAGGGGTAGTTGTGAAGCGGTGGCGGAACGTTTATCGGGCGTGCCTACACCACCACCGCCACCGCTTTTGACTAAGGCCAGTTTCAAGGCCGACTTAGATGCAAAAATACGCAAGCAAAAGTTGAAATTGCAATTGCAAAAGGAACAGCAGCAGCATCAAGAGCTCTTGCAACAAAAGCAACAGCTAATACAAGAACAACAGCAATTACAACAACACTCATCCCATCAGTCAGCCGCCAACAACTCAAATAATCCAATATACCTCAGCAACCACAATCATAGCAACAAAAATAACTCGAATTCCTCCAACAATACCATCAACACCACCACCATCATCACCACAACCACCACAACCACCACCAATGCCACCACAGCTAATGGCAATCGAAATAGCAGCGGCGCCAGCAGCAACACTAACAACAACAGCTACAATAATAACTGTAATGCAATTATGTTCAATAAGCGCAGTTGTAGTACACCAATTCCACCAAATTCAACACCAACAAAAACTGCACCTGCACCTGCATCAGCATCCGCATCTGCATCTGCCTGCCGATCAAATCATTTGGCATTTGTAGTGAAAGCCGCATTATCATCCCATCACCACACGACTGCATCCGCATCCGCATCCGCATCCGCATCCTCATCGGCAGGGTCACAACTTGTCTACCAAAATGGTACTAATAGTAGTAGTAACAATAATAATAATAATAATAATAATAATAATAATAATAATAATAGTAGTAGTAGTAAAAGTGCGTCCAAGCATACCTCATCTCCTTCAACTGCATATCCTAGAACAAGTAAACAAATCCATTCTAATCGAACTCATTATCAATTTCATGCGCTGAAATCACAACATAACAACAACAACAACAACAACACGAACATTTACCACATCGATAACATAACGAACGGCAAATCACGCGCCAAACGCTCTGCATCCATGACAACCACCACGACACGTGCCTCACCACCACCACCATCTTCATCCACATTGCCATCGTCGACATTATCATTCCACTCGGCATCTTGCTTGCCATCTCGTTCGCCGACTGATCGCATTAAATGCCAACCACCAACGTCACCATTACCACCACCACGATTGCAATCGGCAACTGGGGTGTCTATCGGCCCAAAACAAAAACACCACACCCGCATCGAAACTGTTCATACTTTGTCATTGCCATCGTCGTGTTCGCCGCCACCCCTATCATCATCACCAACACCAACAGTGTCAGTAGTATCTTCCTGCACCTATGCGTGTTCTTCTGCTTGTACATCCACGCCGCCTCCCATCCAACCAACCAACCAATCAGCAGCTTCCACTGCGGTCTCGGCAGCCTCCACATCCGCATCGAACATAAATTCCGCCGCCGCCGCCGCCGCCGCCAAACCGAACATCACGCCGAGACCGGCTTCGTTGTCGGGTTCGTTTCGTTCGTTTGACTCTGACTTTCTTTTGGCTGTTTGTTATGGTTTTCTTGATTTGTACTAATGTTGGCTCATTTCATAATTTCAATACTTAGTCTAACTTCTGGTGCTTTTCCGATTCATTCAAGTATCATTGGAGTTTGTGTTGTTTCTAATTTTCTAACTTCTATTTAATTTTGCACTCTTAATTTTGTCGCGTTCATTTACATATGGGCAAATCCTAGCGTTGCGGACGTTACGTACGGACGTGTCTTAAGTTTCTTTAAATCTTTTTGTCGGCAAAAAAAATTACAAGTTAAAAAATGTGTGTGGGGTATAAGGGAAAGTTTAAAGCAGTACTTTAAAGAGCAAAATAATGGAAATTTAAATTTGAATAAATGGCGCTGTATTTGCCCTGGAAATTTGTGTTCGAACGTTATTGAAAAGTCAACCGATTTCTGTAAAATGTCATGTATGGAGAACACAATCTACAAAAATACTTGGCAGTGAAAATAATGAAGTTAACAAAATGTACAATAAAATCAAACTAAAGGTTGGATTAACTTCAAAAAAATTTTATATATTCATTAAGGTCGTTACGTTGCGGGCATTACTTTTTTTTGCCGTTAAAAAAAATTGTTTTCTTTTAAAGCGATATTGTGGTATTTTATTAAAAGATATAGTGCTTAAAACTAATGCTATTCAGAGCTTTGTTTCAACAAGTAAGTGGCGTGGCGCACAAAAGATTTCTCAAATATGTGTGAAGAGAAATATGAAATTAGTATATATTGTGCTATGCCATTTTTGACACAAAAATGCGAGAAATTAAATTGCATGCATTGCTTTTCGTTCTGGGTAGAATATTTCTCGGATTTGCCCATATAAGAAATGAGAAATTTAATCTGCACTTGTTGAAAGATACGCCCAATAGGATCGATTTCACTAAGTTCCTAACAAAGCTTCACTTCAAAGCTTCATCACTTTTTATCCCTCGTAACTCCACCACCAACTCGCGTGGTTTGAAGTTTAATTAAAAAATTTCTGATGTACATAGTGTGCAAATTATTTCTTCTTGAACTTCTCTGCACTATAAGAATGTAAGAAATTTCCTTTAAATTCTATTTTGACGTTGTATCAACCAATTTTGAGTACATTACTTTTATTACTTTCTCCTTTTTTTTTGTAATGGAACAGGTGTCTAACGAACAGCTACTAAATGCTAATGCAGCACTTTCAAAAACGCATTAAAAAACGCTAAAGGTTTGCCTTATTGAGAGTAGAGTAACCAACTCTATCTTACAGCAGCACGAAAAAAGTATTTGAATATTGAATTAAAAAAATTTGACTGTTCCGAAAATGGGAGCAAATTTGCTTACATACATATATTCTCGATTCAATAACTAATCAATTTTGAAGCAAACTGGCGAAAAGTAATTGGAAAAGTATAATAAATCTATAAGAGAACAGTGCAGTGTATGGGACATACAGACATACACATATGTCATATATAAATATCAAATGGAAGAAGAATCCTTAAAATTCGCCTTAGATTGTCCTGTGTCTCATTCCCTACTGTAAGTTTGATTGAAGTGAATTCAGTAAATTTTACGGATACAAAATCATGCTTTCGAGAATTTCTTATCTAGTTTGCTTTTTGAAAGAGAGAGAGTACTAGCCAATGGCTCAAAAACTTCACTAAATTGCAATTTTTTTCATTAATAAAGGGCCTCTGAAGCTACAGAAAAAAGTTAAAATGTTTACAAAATCCGATATCTTTCTATATAATGTACATACGTACTAACTCTGACAAATTCATTTTTGGTGTTGGCTCAAAAATCGTTTTTTTTTTTACCATGCTTTAATTAAAAGTTTCTTTGGTGGTTAATTATTACTTTCTTTTAAATATTGGTGTTCTATGAAATTTCAAAATCGTACAAAATATTAGTTTTAATAACTTGGTGTATAATTTTGCGTCCGCTAATTCTTCGCAAATTTTTTGATTAACGCCGGTGATATTTCCATTTCTCTCACTGCTGCTTGTTTAATCGAAAGTATAACTTCTAAACTGAAATGTGCCATTCTGTGCGTCCATCCTATGTACATACATATACATATTTCACTTCATCTATAAACCCACATCAATTCCTTAAATTTTTATCAATTCACTCACCTAACAAAGCACGCTCACACATCAGACACATTTCTATCTCATTCTATCGTTCGACTTCATTGAAGGCAAAACTCCGATTTAGGGTAGTTCGTCTACTAAAAAGAATACATATGATTACTAAAACAAAATACTAAATGTTTCTACAAAAATGTATAAACCAACATATCATATATCAGGTCCTTTTGGTGGATTACTAACAAAACAATAAATAAATTGGTGTCTACTAATTTTAAAATGACTACAAAAAGTCTACAAAAGCACCGATTGCTAATTGAATTGTATTAAAAATCAATTGGAAGTCTCTTAGTTGTTTCTGCAAATTTGGGTTCAAATTAGTTCTACCGACTTTGGGTTCAATTAGCATTCTGTCAACTAACGGTAATTCGGCTCAGTACTGTGAATATGTAAATAAATAAAGGCACACGTTAACATAACCTACTCGTTTGCCAAGAGAGTAACTGTTTACAATTTGGCCTGCTAAATATTATGGTGTCTTGTGTTTGTGCATCTAATAATTACAACAAAATAAGTATGTACAGTAGAATTCCGATAATCCGTCCCTTAGACTTAAACGTCTTATATTTCGCTCTCGTAATCAGGCACGCCAATTTGGTACCACTTTTATAAATTGCCAAAATGTAAAGATAATGATAAATGATAAATTCGACAAACCACAAATCACTTGTCGGATTATCGCATTTCTGCTGTACTGAAAAAAAAAATAACTATTTTAAACATACATATCTATTGGATAACGGTTATGGCATACTTCTAATATAAAATTTAACACAAAACCAAAAAACGTATACACTTTGCAAACTCTAACTATCGTTTTGTTTTGTCAAACAGGAGGCGTGACGCGTATTGCGCGCCGTTCGTCAGTTAACACGGCTAAGCCACCGCCGCCGGTGCGTCGCAGCTCATCGGTGACGCCGAGTCACAATGCCACAGGCACTGGGGTAAGTTTAGAACGAAACGTATTAAGTATGCCTTAAGATATACTATAAAAAAGTGTAGCTGGTTTGTACTTAGTACTTACCTTGTACTGGCAAAAAGGTGTGGGAAGTATGAGCAACAGGATTTTACCTACAGTCGAAGCATAAAACGTAAACACCGACTCAGAACACTAAATAGTAATTTTTAGTTTAGTATAACGATTTTCATCGGTTATTTTCATTCATTTCTATTTTCCATTTTCAATTTTCGTTTTTGTTATAATTTAATTTCGTTTAAATTTTCGTTTTCTACCCATTCAACTTTATTACACGCTATTACGCAAACAGGCTCCTCCGCAATCGCCACAACATCAACATCCAAACCAATCTCAACAAGCTCAATATCACGCCACCCAACAGGCCGCCAGTCATCAAAAGCCACCAGCAGCACAATATTCCCAATATGATTCCGTTGATAGTCTGCCACCCCCGCCCGCTTATTTGCTTGACTCAAGGCACGCTACCCAATTGTCGGCCTCTTCACCGTCGCCAGCAACACCGATGCCCAGCTCATCGCTGAAGGTGGCTGAAACGGTGAAGGCGCTATCCGCTATGCGTCACAAGCCTGCTTCACCGAATTCGATTCGACACATGCAGCAGTTACAACACCAACAACAGCACCACCAGCACCACCAACAACAACAACAGCAATTACAGGCCCTGCAGGTGAGAGAAACTGTAGTGCAACGTCCCTCCAAAAAACATAGACCCTTTGCTTAGCAACTCCCACAACGACAACCATAGCTAGATGGGCAGTGTGTAGACAATTTGTCCCGCCCAATTGGCGAAAAAACTTGTCATTGATTACCTTGCCCCATTTACATATGTATTTGGTTTATCAAATCGAAATTTTTTATAGATACGAATTTATTTTAATTTTATTTTATCTACTTAATTTTTTTACTTTACTTATTTTGTATACAATTTTTATTTATTTATGCATAAATACCTGCACTAAACCAAAACTGACTCTGAAAACAAACAAAAAAAAAACATTGAACTCACCACTCGTTCACTACCCCACTATGCTTGATTGCACCACACTGACAACACAGCACTCACCATCACAAACACCTACACCAACATCACCACAGCCACCACTACAACTACAACAAAATATTTACTCCACAACCGTTAAGAGCTTTTCCTCTACCTCTTTACCACCGGTGCCCAATTACGATACTGAACAGTCGTTGCTCCATTACGATGCTTATTCCTACTACAACCCATATGTTGAGGTTAGCTCCCAACTCACCGCCACACCACCACAGCTGCTTACTAATGCTAACGATGCCGCTTGCCAAACTCTGCCAATAACACCCATTTACCATTACTATGACGGCACTCAGCCAAGAAAATCAACACACCACTTACAGCCGCCCATACGGGAAGCACAGCTGCTGCATGAGGCAGGATGCAGCAGCAGTAATACGCTCCGAGGTATGGCCAAAAAGAAGGTCGCACACCAGTCACCAGTGTCACCATCGTACACCTCACCGCCACCTTACGACTTCCAGCATACCAAAATAGAGCTGCCACCCCCTTTACCACCACCAAATCCAAATCAACAGCGTTCGCTTAAGCAGCAGCAAATGCACCAAAAGCAGTTAAGTGAGTGTCATCAACACGTTACACCAACAACACAACAACATACCCCACAACAATACAATCATCTACAATCACCGCCACAACAACAACACGAACAGCTTTATGATTACCTGCCGTCACCGCATCAGCACGTTCACTCTCCCAAGCTACAACATAAATACCAACAGCAGCAGCAGCAGCAACAACACCAGCAACAACAACAACAACAACACCAGCAACAGTCACAGCTTACGGCGGAGAATCTTGTCGACCTTGAAGATGAAGCCAATATGTATAGTGGCAACGCCGTAAGTCCTGCTTTGGTGTGCAAAAACGAAACGAGTAGCGAGTAGCGTAATTTGTAATTCATACTAATCAGCTTCTTCGTACCTAATCGGCGCATAACAGCAAGAGCAGCAAACTCATTTGTTGGGTGCAAAAAAAAAAAATAAAAAATAACAACAACGATTGAAAAAAAGCATAAATGTTTGTATATATGTATAACCGGATTAACCACAGCACTTTGACTAACAGAGAGCAATTTACCGATTTTGATTCGAAAATGTATTTTTGAAATATGTAGTAAATAGTTAGACATACATATGTACATAAATTCATTCACTAGTTTTATATTCACAAAGATTTTCTTCCTAAAGTGTTCCGAATCGTATTTTTTGTTTTTATTTTTATTTTTATTATTATAATTTTTTTTTTTTTCTAGTTAATCGTTAAATGCATATTTTTTTTTGGCTTTGATCTGATGGCATAGACTTTTGTCCTCAAACGCCAGGTTATTCCTCCTTTTTATTGTTATATTCCAGTGGTATAAGTATCCGGGTATGTACAACGTTGCCCCACTAATACACGTGCAAAAGTTTCTGCTGTTCTTACGTCTTAAATTTTTTATTTATTTAATAATTATTAATTATGTATTAGATTGTATAAAATCTCTATGTACTATTTAATAGCAGGGAACTAAGTCCTCGTATCGCCAGGTTATTACCCACAATTAAGAATTATACGTCAGATTATATTTGTTAAAATGTAATTTTATCCTTTAATCATTTTCATGCAAACTGTACTACATCAGTTCATTAGCAGTTTTTAGTTATTTTTCAAATCGACAGTACTTTATTTAACTTTGCATTTTCTTTTGTATAACGCATTTAACATTATGGTTAAAATTTCACTTGACCAACTTCATGTATGTATGTTTTATTTAAATTTGTTTTTTATCATTTTATTTTGAGTCTAAAGATTAGCAGATATCTTTGATTTTAATTTAGAATGATTCATTATTTTATATTGATTACATATTTTTTTATGTATAACACGACAGGACACATTACCTTATTATCGAGGAGCCATTTTCCGACCGGTTTTCTATGTAGTTCAGATTTATAGATTTTTATCGAAAATTTACAATTTAGCCAAGCAAATGTGCGCTTTGCTGTAATGTGAAAACTTTTTTGAAGTGCATATTTATATAATGAAAATATTTATTTTTGTACTATAATTCACTGCATTTCATTTTTGAAATTTCATTTGTTTATTTTTTATATACATAGAAGACATTCTTATAGTTTTACGATTACTAACTAATTGACAGCACAACCACTTGCACTGTATTTTAACAAACACACAATAATGTACACGCTTACTACAAATGGACCAGGGGCGGATCCAGCGGGGGGTCTACGTGTCAGTCAGTGACGGACCCACGGGGGGTGTTTTAATATGGCGCATATGTATGTATAAAATGGTGTCTATGTATTAAAACACTCCTCGTGAGTCCGCCACTGACTGTTACGTAGTTTAACCCCCAAAACCGCCCCGCTGGATCCGCCACTGAAATGGACGAATTTGTTTAACTAGGTGGTGTGATTAATATCCTGGCACAGAATCATGCACTTAACTCAATACGAAATATCCATTTGAATGTTTTTTTTCGCTTGATTTTGGCGTCTCGCACTAATGCTTTGTTTTATGATTTTCTATATTTTTTGCATTTAGTCATTCCGCACATCATCGCCTGGCATTTATGCGCAACCGAAAATCGTCACAAGCATGTCGAGCTTCCGTTCGGCTAGTCCGGCACCGAATGACCACCACAGCCAACATCATCCGGTTGTACCGCCAACACAGCCGAAAACCAATCCAAATCTTATCGCACAGCTTAATGCCCGACTAAGCAAGCAAAACCAACAACAGCAGCAGCATAATGCAAGTGATGGTGGCACTTATGGCTCCACGCCTAATTCACCAAACCACCACACATTGCCCCACCAGCATCAGCATCACCAAAGTGAGCCCGTCTATATGAGGAATTACACGCATCCCCATCACCAACAGCAGCAACAAATGTCATCAGCCGCCACCGCTCCGACGCACCAGCAGCAAAACTATGACGGTAAATCGAATATAGAGAAACATAGTAAAATTTATGGTAGTTTTAGCACTGCAAATGCCACGCAATCATCTCAAGCGTCATCATCATCATCATCACCATCATCTATTACTGTATCTGCATCCTCTACACCGCCAGTATCGTCATCATCCCATTTCTCACATTCATCATCCACAACAGCCAATTTCAATGCTGCACCACATTTTCCCCTATCATCTTCTACTTCATCGCTACTCTCAAAAGTCACTTCATTTGCAACGAATGCCACTTCCACGGCCGTTGTTCTTTCCTCAACAATGCCATCACAAATACAGTCACAGTCACAGTCGCAGTCGCAGTCACAAGCAGCAGCTTCTGCCTCCCATTATCACGCATCCTCGCGAGATCATCACCACAATTACCATATCAATCAGCATAGTCAATATCAGTCAGTCGCTTCGCAAAATGCAGCGCAAGGGCCCAAAGAGCATATGCACTCAAATATTTACTCCTCATCCTCCTCGATAACCACCGCAACGTCACACTCGCCATCCGCCGCCACTCAAATTAACGCCAATAAAAATGCTGCAGCTGCACAGCAATCGAAGCATCAAGCGACCTACGCTCCTCCTGGCGGTGTAGCCAGACATTACATTGCTCCAACGCAATCGCAACAGCAGCAGCAGCAGCAGCAGCAGCAGCAACAACAGCAACAGCTTCATCATCATCATCGCGAGCCACATCACAGCTGCCCACCGCCGCTTGAGAATCCACCACCGCCACCCACCAACTCATCCATTTACTCAGCCACAGCCAATGCAACTGCGACCATGCCCAAAAATGCTATGCGCACAAATCTAAGCGTTAGCAGCGCAGGCGCGGGCGGCGCCACCTATGCTCCCCCTTCGTCCGCCATGACATTGCCTAAGAATCTCGCACAACAGCGTTTGCAGCAACAACAGCACTATCAGCAGCAGCAGCAACAGCAACAACACTACCAACAGCAACAATATCACCACCCAACCGCCAACGCAGCCGCTCAACAACACCAGCAACATTCCCAGGCGACTACTGCAACTCACCGTGCGCAAATACCACTGCCACACCACCAACAGCAACAGCAGCAACAACAGATGTCCTATAAACAAAAGTCAGCCACTTTGCAAAGCAATCACCGGCAGCCGCCCGTACCCTCGCGTCACTCCAGCGTGCAGCAGAAGATCTTTGTCGCCACCAATCCATTCATTCAAACTACAACCATACACTGTCACTCGCCCGCATCGGTGCACTCGCAGCCGGCATCACCCACCTGTTCGTCGCCGTCGTCGTTGGCGAGCATTTACGGCACTAGCTCGAGGAGTCATCACCACCACCACCATCATCATCAGCAACAGCAGCAGCAGCAGCAGCAGCAGCATCACGGCAGCGGCATTGGCAGTAGCGGCGGTAATAGTGGTGGAGCAGCCGGCAATGGTTACTACGCTGCCCCGCACAATTCAAGTGAGCGCGCGTTGTTTTTGTTTTGTCTGCATTGCATCCAGTCAGTTTGCTGTCACATGAAGCATTTTCTTTTCATTTGTTTAACATCAATTGGAGTTTTGAATTTTAAACTTTATTTTGTTAGCCGCCTTTAGTTTTTGAGTTTGCAGTACGAACGTCTCATGCGTCATGACCAACGCGAGTACTGACTGACTGCTGACTATTATTATTGACGGCGTTGCATGTCGCCTCTGTATTGCACTCACTGCTGTTTCACGCTTTTCAGCAATTTGTCGAATTAAATGGACAAAGCGACATACTGTCGGTGATAAACGCAACGGCGCTGCATTTTGTTGAGCACCACCTTCGGCTCCCCATTCAACACCGCGTTCTTCAGCTTCCAACATTGATTCCCACTTTTATCCTACTACATAAAAATTGAAATTTTTTATTATTCTCTTTCTTCTCAAAACACTTTGATATCGATATCATGTGATCTCATCACTACATCAATTGCACATAGCAAGTATAAAATCTAGTTATAATATGGGTTAATTTGTAGTTGCATTGCATTCGTTGAAAAGTGGCAATCTCTTTAGTTCTCAATTATTTTTTTAGTTGAATGTTTTTGCTCCAGCAGTACGTTTGTTTACGTGACATTTAGAGTTGTATATGTATCAAAATGCTCAGAATTAAGAGATAAACTCGATCGATTTCATATGCCTGTCTGTCTGTTAGTCCGTCCACACAATAACTCCAATAAGAACGTAAATACATATTTGGCTGCTCTTCAATCAAGGTAGGTAGGTGCCGGCCTCCCATATAACGGTACGGTTATTTCTTAACAAAGTAAAAACTGCTATATTGGGAATACATAGCTTCATTTTGGCGGAGCTAAGACTTATTTCTTGTTATTTTTAAATTAACTCTACCTCTAACAACTTTCTTTGATCAGGATGTTTTAGAGAAAATTGTGTAGGGCGATCACACATACTCCGTTTCGCTTTGCAAGGTTTTGATGATAACTTTAATTTATTTTAAGGCGTCCTTCGCCCGATCGAGGCGAGTTTTGCACGTTTTGTTATTAGATTTTTATGTAATACATATTTTGGTCGAGCACTTTTCTGCACCGTTATTGCTTTTTGAGCAGAACATTTATTTAAAAAAAAAAAAAAAAAAAATGAGTTTAGTAAAAAACATGAAGTGAAACACTTAACTAAAGAAATCTAATAATATTAAGCAATGTAATAGCTATCATTAAAAAATGTGCATGTTTACCTAATGAGGTTTTTTTTTTAAATATGTAATTTTGTTCCTTTTCATCGTACCTGATTAATTTATACATACAATCGTTATACATACTGTGCAATATGTGTATGTCCTTTTGTTCATAGTGATTTATGTATTAATACTTATATTTGAAATTATGTATGTATGTATATTGAACTAATAGCTTATGTTTTGTTATATTTGATATTTTAAGGCTATGTTAATGATCTTTGATTGAATTTTGCTTTCGTCCATTGCATTTTTTACAGCATTTTTTTTATTATGATATGTATGTAAATAATTTCGTTCAGCATCGTTGATTGCAAATTTTATAAAGTTTCATTTTTAAATTTTCTATTGTTTTTAAACATAATATTTTGTTTATTATTATTAATTTTTTTAATTGATTATTGATAACATTCAATTTTTTACATTTTTTCTCTTCTCACTTTTTGCCGTCCATTGCATTTCTGTCATGGCTTATTGCACCCACAACAAACACGAAAAATATTTTAAATTTCGAAATTGGCTGCCAAAACGAAAATTCGAAAATTATGCACCATCTCTCTTCGCCAATCGTCAAACGCCGTTCAACAGCGAGTTATGCTAGCTCTAACATTGAGAAGGCGGGCAGCATTCGTTCGAAAACAAAAGCAGAATTTCTTGAGAATCTCAATGCGAAGCTGGCCAAGCAGGGTCTCTCCGGGCGGGCCTTTGCAGTGCGCAATCTGATCAATAGCAAAGCCTTGGTAAGTGTTGCACATATTCGAATTGGGACTATAAATCAATGGGCCTCAAAGGAGGGCCTCAAATGATAGTACACGATCATATACACTATTTATTATAAGTACGTGTGTATGTATGGATGTATATTATTGGTTGATTTTAGACTATATCGTTACAATTATTAGGTTTGTTCGTCGAGCAAAAAATTTGTACGAATTTGTACGAATTATCACGATTTTTGCCCAAATCGCGTTCGTGCAGACCAAAAAATTATCCAACACTCAAAAATTGTGAGAGCAAAGTGACAGTTCTCTTGGAGAGATGTTGCAAATTCTTGCTGGAAAAAATTTTGCCAGCAAGAATTTGCAAACACGAAAAACATGTGGTTGTGGCGCATGGTTGCATTTTTGTCTACAATAATTTGAATAAATTAGTTCGTTAAATTTAAAAATTTATAAACACGAGCGATTTTTTTATGAAAAACGAAAGTAAATAATTATTGATATAATTAATTTAGTTAATTCCAATGATTTGAACTTAATTCGGCTGAAAAAAATGGTATTCGCTATCGGAATGCAATTGCAACCAGAGTCGATTTAAGAAACACGACAGCTAGTACGATGAAGAAATTGAAGTGTATGTTAAAGAAAGTCAGAACAACAAGAAATATACATGTATATCCTGTTTTTGGCCATCCGAAAGAATTTTAAAAATTCTATAAAAATTTTTTATGTTTGAAATGCAACCGTGGACGCCAGCTGGCAGGGAAACTTGCAAATTCCTGCAAATTTGCGTTCGTGCACAAATTTGCAAGTTTCTCAACATGAGAGAGAATTTGAGAAAATTTTTTCTTACTCTCTGATATTTTGATAATTCTTGCTGGATTTTCGACGAACAGACCTATATATAATTATTTCCATGTATATGTATGTATGTATGCACAAACGTATGCGTATTATGCATTTTGATTGATAATCGCTTGTTTCCTGTATCCAAAAAATAAAAATAAAAAACAAAAACGATCGCCCCCTTCCTAGATGTATCAAAATCCAAAAACACCTGCTCGTCCAAGCGAACAATATCGCACGCAACCGCAAACACAACCACAGCCACCGCTGACACCGCCACCCTCCTCCGCCGAAGAGTCTTCGTCGCATTAAGGTATCGTAAAGTAAAAGCAAAAACGGGCTCGGTTCGGTATACCGATACCGTCTGTCTGTATGCGCTTTTAGCTGCACAGCACTACGCTTTGCATTACCAATTCGCCTAAATAAATTAATCATTAATTTTTAATATTTTTATTGAGCTTTGTACCACGATTAACCAACATTGATTGACAAATACATAGATAGTTTAGGAAGAGCCGGCCTAAAACTATACAATAAAGCAAAGGCTAGCTGTATAGAATTGACAACAACTACGACGCTGTCAAGTTTAAATAGCGGCAAATCAGCTCCTTGAATAAGGAAATGAATTAGCAACAAGAGTTTACGGAATGTGCATAGCTCAGTGGTTAACGCTTCTGACTTTGCAACGCCGATGATGCGCGTTCGATCCCTGCTGAAGCCTAGAAAAAAGAAGTCCTATGAGGAGATGTGGTGATCTCCGAAATAGCTGCTATAACTTCTACCGCTTAGACTTTGTTGCTTTTTTAATTTAATTTGTCCTAATAAACATAATCGTGGTACAAAGCTGAATAACAATATTAAAAATAAAATATTAAAAAGCCACAATAACGTTGATAAAATCATTAATATTGAAAGTGTATAACTGAACATCTTAAAAAAAGTAACGTCATAGCATGCGCCATTTACCAACAATCACCAGCTTTAAAACGACATAAAAATTGCTTAAATTCATAATTAGAAAACTTAACTTCTATTTTAAATTCCTTCTCAGGTTTTTTACGCCATGGATCTGTAGATTTGTAATTAGAACATTACCAACTACATTTGGCTGGTTTGGTTTACTGTTTCTTACAAATTCTTAACTTCACAAAGAAAGCTATTTGGAGGCTTTTTAGTCGTCGGATCTTTCAAGAGTTGAAAGTATAACACTCGTCGCCATTGCTCATGGCAAAAGTGGCTAAAAATGGAAATCTTATCGGATTCGCTTGAAACTTGTTACCTGGGGTTTTTTTTTTGGGGGGGTTGCTGATTGCGAATGTGAAGTTAGATTTCAAAAGTTAAAAATGGCGAATCTAATATGGCCGTTCAAAAACTCGCCTGCAGTTAATCTAAATACATATATAAGTTATAGCTTCCGAAGCCCACACGAGGAGGTTACAGTACGGATTATGACTTCATTTTTTAATTTTTACTATTATTTTAATCATTACACTGGCCAACAAAAATTGAGAAAAAATTTTATGCGGCAAATGTCAAAGCTTTTTTTGATAGACTTTTTGTGCTTATTACGAACCCGTAAGTATAAGGTGTCCATCAGCTCCAGATTTTGAGAAAAACGTGGCAAACAAACAAAATATGATAGAACCTTCCACTTAGGCTTAAATTAAGTTTTTAACTTTCGAATACAATGAGATCTCCAGGGTCTAGCTCATTGATGCCGGTTTTACCCAACATTTTATTAACTGGTAAACTTCCGGTAAAACAACATCTGAAAGAAGACTTATGTTCGGATTTAGTAGGCAAGCTCGACAGCGGCGACAGCTGTTGCAGACCAGTATTATTTAGCCGGTTATAATTTGTGCTAAAAAGTGATTAACTTTTGTTGGTATTAATCCCATCTACATATTAAACGCTGCATAGCTCAAGTCTTAGAAGTACGAATAAATTAAGATTTTACTAATACACTCCGATAATTACTTATCCAAATGCATAATTTACAAACTTACACACTTCATTGACAAAAAAAAAAAAAAAACTACTGCTGATATTTATTTATGCTTAAAATTGGTCACTATGTAGTATTTTAACATTTTTAAATTGGCCAATTTAGCGTAGACATTTTTGTTTTTTTTTTTTATTAAATCTGTGTGCTTTTGTTTTTACAGCCCGATCCACGCATTTGTCATGAATCGCTGATGGACCAAATCAAGCGTGGCGCCACACTGAAACGAAATCAAAAAATAAACGATCGGAGTGCACCGAAAATACATTAAATCGTTTACTGGCGAGAAAGAGGCTGCTAAACATGTCGGAGTCAGAGTCGGAGGAGAAAAAATTGTTAAACGTTAACAAACGAGCAATTAGAGGCCGTACGCGACCCGAACATTCAGACTGTTTTACCGACGCCACTGGGAGGAGGGAATACAAAATACAATACCTAAACGCATACTTACATATGAGTACATACATATATACGTTTATAAATAATATAATATTGCAGTTAGTTGTAAGCGAATAAAAAATAGAATACACTTACGCTAATTTAAAGGCGAATAAACTAAATGAATATGAATGAGTGAATAAGTGTAAATTAGAAAAACTGTTCCATATCCATACAAATTTATACAAAAAAAAAAAAAATATTCATTATGAACCCAAAATACATATATATTCGAAGTATCAATGCAAAAGATTTTATACCTACCCACATACATACATATGTACATATACTTAACATATATAACATACATACATATGTACATGTTAGCATTCATAAATACATATGTATGTATGTATTGTATTTATTCCTTTTATAAGTTTTCGTTGCTCAACTACCCAAAATTTTCATTTCTTAAAGTTTATACTCGTATTAATGCAAATATTGATGTAAGCGAGAAAATTTAATGAACATACATATGTATATACATACATTTGTATGCTAACGACAAAAAATCGTTTATCTGTTCATAGAACAGTTGCGTATCATAATCATTTCAAGATACATATTTTAATGCAGTTACTGCTTTTATTCTACAAAATTACCTACCAGCCGAAAAATATCAGTGAGCAAATATATAGTTTATTTATTAGTATGCATAAATATATGTATGCATATGCAGCAGATGCTTACTCGTTTACTGTGCGTTCTATACATACATTTACCTAATCGTATACATACATGCTTACATAATACATATATACATATTTACATAAGCTATCAATTGTATGAATTAACAACCGAATTGCGTATTTCATATAACCAACTCGAATTTTTACCAAAAAAAAAAAAAATATAAAAGAAATACCTACTGAAAAATCGTAAAATGTAAATTAAGCATGGAAGGGAATTTTCGGAAAAGCAACTTATTTCGAAATAAAATATGTACGTAGAATTAACTTTTAGTTTTCACTATGTTTTTCATATCAACCGTTATCATTTCAATTAAAATATATTTTTTCAAGTGTATATACATAGTTTATATTCTGATTTGAACAATGTTTTAACTATTAATGTATTTACTTTTTATTACTTATTAATTTATATAAAACATTTAACTGAATATTTGAAAAATATGCTGAATAAAGAATTAAATCATATATAGACGTTGTTTTTTATTTAATTATTTTGAGCTACGTTTGTTTTGATGCAAATTTTATTTTAACAATTTCCTTTCATTTCATTTATAGTGCTTCAGTAATAAATAAATTTGAGTAGAAAGAAAATATTATTCACTTATTATTCATTATTTTGATCTCAATTAGCATCTCTCTTACGCCTGCGAACAAAGCGGAAGCGTTAAAATGTGTTTTTCAATAAAATATGTATGTAGATAGCGGCTAAATAACATACACCTACAACTTTATACATACATACATACATACGTATTACGTACATACATATAAGCAATTGTGCATAACAATAATAAAGTAAAAGTCAATTGTGCTAAACTAATCGCTGTCTGTTGCCACTACAGATTATTCGACTAGTTTTCTAAGCAACCCACTTTCATCCTTCTCTCTCTTTTGGATCTTTGAAAAAAAACGTTCCATAAAAAATTCCTAAGTTGAAAAATCATCATACAATCAATATTCGGCGTTTGCATGTTTATGTAAAAAAGCAATCACCACTCACATCTATTCATTAATTGAGGGCAGTCAATGGGTCCCTTAAAGACAAGGACTCAGATTTGTATCAAAGAGCGCACTGATGGCCGTTAGACTAACAAACACCACTTATGATCATTAAAATATTTATTTTAATGCTATAGTATCTAAATGTTAGTTATAGTAAACCATTTCATCCTGTTACGACAGTTTACTTCTAGTAATAACAACATCATATCTTGTACTTATCCCATAAACAAACTCGAATAATATTTAGGTTTAAGTAAAAATTGATATTTTGTATATAAATATACATACATATATGCATACTATATGTGTATGCATGTATGCATTAAATTTTAGAGAGGAGCCTAACTGTTAACTTACTAGATGTACTTTTTTTTATAAATGTGTGTGTTTTGAACTATTTTTAAATAAAATCATCATCAGCTCGGCTAATTTGTAGTCATACCGTGAAGAATTGCGTTAGTAGCAACATTGCAAACTGAAAAAAAAAAACATAATCAAAAATCAACACGCTCAACTAGGCTACTAGAATTGTGCATAGAATCAAAACCTTCGCATTCTTATAGGATATTATTATGCTGGATTTCCACTAGGCATTAAATGACACAATTGGGCATTAAAAAATATTTTTGTCATTACGTTAAAAAATAGTAATTAAATTAATTTCCAGATGGCATTTTTTAAATGCAACTTTAATGCAATGCCTAGTGGAAATTCGGCAATACACATACATACATTATTATGGCATGAATGTACTGAAAAAATAATTACACCTAAAAATTTAAAATTGTCCTACCAGCATACATGCATATTAAAAAAAAAGTAATGTAGTACGTACGTATGTACCTACATATGTATGTACATATGTATATGCTGCTTATAGATTTAAAAGACATTCCAATTAAGACCCATATGCACACATTTCTCAAGACTAAAAACCAAGTTATGCTATAAAAAAAGTCAACCAAAAGCATGCCCCATGCCTAGTATACTACTACCTATCTAATCGTATCAATTCAATTACATACCAATTATATACACTAGATACATACATACATACATATACTATATAATATACATACTAATGTATTTTACTCGAGAATATAATCTACATATGTATACAGATTCCTATAAATTATAACAATAACTGCAATAATTTTCAATAAAAAATCGTTTTTAAATCTCATTTTATATTTCGATTTTTTTGTCATGGGAGGTTGACGAATACGACTGATGAAAACACGCAGCCTATTGTAAGATTATTTCGGCATTTGGAAGCGGATTTAGATGGTAGCCTACCAGCTTTGGAAGCTGAGACATAAATAATTGTTTTTTTTTTAAAGCTTATCAAATTCATTGCAGCAATCATTGTCGGTGTTACCATTTTTGTAATACTCGCCTTAAATACTACGATTTCGTTGTTTTTAATATGACCTAAACGACTCATAAATTCATGTTGAGATCAATAATTATAATTTATTTATAGTGATTCGTTGATTCTTTCAGAAATGTCTAAACATTGCTAAAATTTTAGTAATGGTGGCTAAAACAATCATCGTAGTCCGATTTTTCGTGAAATCTACGAAAATCCGATCACTGGATCCGAATCGCTGCGAACGTGTGTATTCAGAGCATACGCTACGTTCCACAGTGTGGCAACTGGAAGAAGCTAGCTGCACAATATTATTTTATTAGTATTTTAGATAGATAAGGTCGGAACTAAAAAAAAAATGTTCTAAGACCGGGTTCGGGAATGCAAAAAGTAATGGATAGCCCCTATAAACTGCGCACGAAAATATGCAAGAATTTCTCGCATTAAATGATACGAATGTTTTGCGAATGCGAATGTGTACATGGGCAGAGCGTCCACTCTAATATTGTTGAAATGGCTCTAAGTCTGTCTAACCCTGGGTGCGGAAAATAACCGGGCTTTTAGCCTCAGGCGCTAAACGGTTAAGTAGTATCACATTGATTGGCCTTCAATAAGTACTGCTGAAAGTCTTATAAGCAACCTAGAAATAATTTTAGATTCCTTGAATCTGGAGACATTATAAAATGTGAAATTAAAGCTCAATTGAAGGCTTAAAGAAAAACGGGCTCATCTCGGTGAAAATCTTCTCGATTGGTGGAAAACTTAACTGAAATATGACAAATTGACAGATCTGGGCCGCAAATATTTGAGCGCTCCAGCCTCTAAGCGATCGCCTCATGGGAGAAAAGGCAGTAAAATTACTTTTTTGAAATATCATATGCCCCTTTTCAACTTTTACTACTAAGAACGTGTAATGTTCAATGTTCTAATAATGTAAAAAATTTATAAGTAATAAAAACGATGACTTAAGTTGATCATAGCTTTTTTAAGATTATTCCTAACATAAGCATTCTAAATAAACGTATTTTGTATGGAAACAAACAGCTCGACCATCGAAAAGGGTTGGTTCATTTCGCCGATTGTAAACCAGTTGACCTTTTTATGGCCAGTTATAGGCCTGAGCGAAACCTTTTCGGCGACATAGATTTAAGGAATCGGACACTTACAGCAAAAACGCGATTTAGCGGTTATCAGAGGGTGCCTGGACACACGTAAGTGTCCAAATAAAACGGATCTTTTTTTCTTTCATATATAGTGATAGGGCTTAATGTATATATCGTTGCTTTAATATAGAACATTTTTATTTCTTCACATACTAATTTTAAAATAAAATAAAATATACAGTTTTTTAGTTGCGAATTTCTTTCAAACCAGTGTACGAAAATAAACTATATTGTACGTTACTATTTCGTTTCGTTTATTACTTCAACAGTTCGGTACAATACAAAACAAAACGGCTGAGTTCACTTTGGCGATAGTACACTACAGTAGTTTAGTAGTTACAGACGAAACAACAAACGAAATGAATCGTGCAGGGAAAATATATGTATGTATGTACATATATGCAATAACTAAATACAAAACGAATGGCTGCAATAAATAAAAAAAATAAAATTGTTTTTTAATTGAATTGGATATGAAAATTTACAGAAAAAATTATTTTTCACGTAATTGAAACGTCTGCATACATATAAAACGTACCCTATGGTACAATTGTCACAGACGAAAAGCAAACGTTTCTCGTTGAGGAAAATGACAGTGAATCTTACAATTTGTTTCTCACTATGTACAAAACTGTACAAAACCACAAATGATATGATGATCGATGTCAAATGGGAATTGTTTTGTACAGTTTATTTTCGTACCCTGTTTCAAACAATGCTTTTTAATAAAGGCTGTATGCATGTAATGTTTTTACAATTATTTTTAAATTCCATTAGATGGTAAATCAGTAATCCGCCTCCTTTAAAGCTGATATTCGAAAGAAAATTAGTTAGGGTCTTTCTATATTAAGATAACGTATGAACATATTTTTTGATTTTCTTATAGCTTAAATAGTTTCATTGTGTTGTCATAGTACGTTTCTGCCAGTTTAGAAGCATTTTCCTCCTTCACGCCAGCGATAACTTCAAGCACTTGGCTAAAAAATTAATAAATTTTTTTTAAGTTATGCGAATATCCATGATGCACAACAATAAACTTGCGTTTAATAATATAGAGAATTCAATATTTACGTTATGGGAGATTTCATCATATATATAATTAATAAGCCATTCCGGTTAGGCAGTGTGTCTTTCCAGCTGCATTTTCGTATACCAACTTTTTGAGATGATCAAACTTTGATTGTTTTAACACAAAATTTAAATTTTTGAAAAATAATTCTCTACATTATTAAACGTGCGATAAGTATATACATATGTACACTGACGAACAAAAGTATTGGCACAGACAATTTTTCGCAATATATGCAAAGTATTTTATTCTAATTTATTTTCGATAATTTTTTATAAAAATGTAGTTCATTCTACACCAAAAACATACAAATAAAATCTCTAACGTTTGTGCAAATCTCAGTAAAATGCAATACATTTGAATTTTTGTGGGCGGTGCTATTATTTTCTTCCATACAAAAAAATTGTCAGCAAACCTTGTATGGGAGAATCTGCGTGAAAAAAATTGGTAAAAATCAACACGATTTTTTAGTAACTTCAAACTTGGACTAGAATTTTAAAGAGTTTTTCACAAAGATTAGATATTTTATTTTTTCGTTGTATAATTATCAATAAAAAAGAAATTAGAATGGAAAACTTTGCCAATACTTTTGTTCTTCATTGTACATGCATACATACATACATATGTACCTAATTTGGCATGGTTCGCAACGTCCGTCGACCAAGGTGTCCGGGGTCCATTTCTCCTTTTTCTTGACCGCCGTAAATTTCGTTTGTACAAATTTGGCACCTGCATGCGATGGTCGTATTCCACACCACGGGCAATCAGTTTCCAACATAATACATTCGTTGGATATTCTTTTAACAACTTCTAAATTCTCTGCTGTCTTCAAGGAGCACCCATTCAAACCGATGTATAATCCTCCGTAGTTGATCACTTTTTCTGCTTCCTCCAGTGTGCCATCAAAACTGTGGACTACACCTCCACCACAATTCAACAACTTGTCCCGATTGCGCTCCAATATTTCCATGAAGTCAGCATGCGCACTGCGACAATGCAGGAAGAGTGGCAAACGAAATTCGGCAGCCAAGCTGAGCTGTTTCTCAAAATATGTCTTTTGCGTGTCTTTTTCGCAGAAATGCAATCGATCGTAGTCGAGTCCACACTCACCCACTGCAACCACCTTTTCTGGGTTTTCACGTATTTTGTTTCGCAGACCCTCGTAGTATTGTTGCGGGTCGGGTAGAAACTCATTACAGCGCGTTGGATGGCAACCCATTGTAATGTTTAGACGATCTACGGTATTACAAATGCTTTAAAAATACAAAACATGATGAATTGATAACGCATTAAATTTGCCTGCTAACAACCTTACCATCTTCTTTCGCCAACTGCAGCGCCGCTTCCGCTTCGTTAAGTGTGCCCACGGTAATAATCATTTTCTGCACGCCTTGAATCCAGGCACGATTTAGCACCAAATGCAAATCGTCGGCATGTTTCTGTGAGCCGCCGTAGATGCCACGAAACATGGGGTCGGTGAGGTTAGCGCCAATGTCTAAAGTAGATCAAGCTCATGTAAATGTATTAATCGGAGGTTTAATCCACCGGAAATTACCAATATACTTCATAACCATTTTGAGCTGTTTGGAAATCCTCATTCAATTATTTCAGGATGTGTATATGTATTTACAACATGCCTTTTCGGACACTGTGCACACACCAGTGTTGGAAAAGAAGGTGCAATTGTACTTTTTCACCCTTCTTAATTTGATAGTACATTCGGTACAACCACACAAATTTTGCACGTTTAGAACGCTGAGAAACCTTTCTTATTTTCAGATGGCCAGGGACTGGGCTCGAATCGCGGCATTTGTCTGCGAGCGAATCAAACAAAATGGCAGCACAATAAAATTTAAATGAGCGAAGCATGCTCGCTATTGAACGCCGTCATCTAAAATCAATTTTCCATTCGATACCGAATGCCGCGATTTGGGCACAGGACTTTGTTCCGAACTCCTCAAAAATATTCCTCCCAACATCATTTGGCGTTGCCAAAATTGTTTAATGTGAATCCGTTTATATGTTTATACGGTGTGGAAGAGAAGAGTTCCTCCTATTTGCAAAAATATATATAAACGTATAAAAACGCACATTTACTTCTTGGGTACATTTCTCTAATTCTAGGTACATTTTTTCCGAAAATAGGTACAATTTTAAAATTTAGTTTCCCCATCTCTGTCAGACACATCAAAAAAACGAACAGTTGACGGTTTGACAATTGGGTGTTGAATCAGCCGTGATGCCAATTCGCTTTGCGTGATGCGATAATTGCATCATGGGAAACAACATATATGAATTCCTTCTAAAATTCTTCAATAATGTGTGAATTCCTAAATATCAAAATACAAAGCTTGCCTTTTTTTGTCTAAACCCCACTAGAAGAAAATGCAAACTTCCACAACCTCGTTGAAAACTAGCATCTAGCCGTGGTTGCCCACACTGGGCGTTACAATGTACCAAACATTTTCATAATTTGCCGATTGGACCGAGCACAAGTCCAGAAATTGGCTAGATGGTCCAAACAACCAAACATAAATCGAGTCACTAGAGGCTTTTACACGGCATCAACCAACGCCTAAGCCCTGCATATTTGCACTGGACTTTGGTAACATTTGTACTCTCGCCTCGCCTTATTATGCATTTATAAGTTTGCCTGAAAGTTTTTATCTTGGCATCTACCATACAATAAAACAAACAACTTTGAAAACATACCCGCATGCATTTCGGGAATTTCCAACTTATGTATAAAACTAGTTTGACAATGAAAGCACATTTTTATGGCTAAGTACATGGGTATGAATTTTAATGAATGGAAAAACGAGTTTCTTACGAACTAATAATGACTTTTGGACTGAGACAAATAAGGACATCCATCACGTTCAGGCAGTGGCAACAGCGGTACTTCCATTGGCAACTTCAGACACCTTTTCATTGGTTGTAGATTCTTTGGCAACTTCTTTACTTTCTGCAGCTTCGACACTATCAACTTTAGATTCAGGCTCTTTCGAAGTATCTTCTGAAGGTTTCCCATCCTCAGCTTCCATTGGAGCGGCGCCATTACCATTTTTGGCAGATACCTCCTTTACTCCAGTCGAACCGAAACCACCAGTTCCACGTTCAGTAGCATCAAGTTTATCTACTTCCTCCAGTTCAGGATAGAAAATGCGCTCACAAATAAATTGTGCAATGCGATCGCCACGTTTCACCTCGAAGTCAGCATCTGAATGATTGAAAAGCACAACGCCCAAGTTTCCACGGTAGTCCTCGTCTACGACACCGGCACCAACATCTATGAAGTTCTTAACAGCCAGTCCCGAACGTGGAGCGACCCGGCCGTAAGATCCCTCAGGCACTTGTACTTGTAAATCAGTTTTCACAATTGCTTTACCGCGTGCTGGCACCAGCAGATCATAGGCACTGCGTAGGTCTAGACCAGCCGCGCGCGCCGACCCACGCACTGGTTCTAAAGCATGTTCAGTCAGCTTTGCGAACCGCAACACGCACTTTGAATCAACCTTCATTTTCTTTGGTTCGGGTAATTCGGTTTCCTCCAATTTTTTCTTCAGTGCTTCGGCAGACATCTATTACAAAGAAAAAAATCAATAATTGTTATAGAAATAGAAAGCAAAGTCACTACACTACCAACTTTTTGTTTACAGCAAATTGTTTGAAATCACAGACCCCTTTTCTGTTCAGCGACCAACTTCGAAATGACAGTTTTTGAAACTGAAGCTATTTTCCGCGCCATCTTCCCAGATCTTGGCGCAATTTGCTGAAATTTGTTGTTTGCGGAATCCGCTTTGCCAGCCGGTCCACAGCTGGAAAACTATCGATTGCACTATCGATAGTATCGATGGTTTTTGACTATCAAAAACATTGGTGGTTTTGTAAGCACTATCGATGGTTTTCACTCGTTGGGCCCTGTCACACGGTCAGTATTTATTGACGTGATCCAAGTATCGCGATATTTAGTGACGGTGTAGCATGCAATATTGATGGATCGCGATGCATATCGCAAAATTTCTAAGGGCTCTGTCACACGGTCAGTCATTATCACCATATTTGGATCGCGATCAATATTGATGAATTGATGGATCGCGCACGAATACTACATGTTCAATATTTATCGCGTCAGTATTTGCATAATTTTTGTGCTGAATGCTTATTATGACGCAAGAAAATATTTTTATTTTGTACGTACAATTTACAGATAATGCATTCTACAATTATTTAAAATTTCCAATGTTAATTAAAATTTGTTTTGAAAGATTTTAAGCCCCGAGAGCGAAGGCAGAGCCGATGTTCGCATTATGAGAGTAAAAGATGTACTGACGAAATGTATGGATCACGTTTTGAAAGTGCTTTACGTTCAATATTTATTTACGGTATTGCGATGCGAGATCCAGATTTCAAAATTTTATCCATCAATACTGCATGCTACATCGTCAATAAATATCGCGATACTTGGTTCACGTCAATGAATACTGACCGTGTGACAGGGCCCATACAGTTGCTAGCACCGTTTCGATGATTTCCGATTGAGATTTCATTTATTATTTTACATTATTTGGAAAAAGAAAAGTTGCGCATATTCAACATCGATGTGATACTAATAGAAATCTGGCTCAATTTGTGATCAACTCTGTTTGTTTTTTTTTTTCCTATTTACAGGTCTATTCTGCGCTGGTAATAAAAAGTTTGTAACCGGTAAATAAAGTTCCTGTCAATTTTTAAACCCTTTTCGCATTCTGTATACTCTTGTAACCGGTAAACCCCGTGGAATATTCAATGCCAGGATTTGCACAATTCTTCATAGCTGAATTGCTGAATATTTTAATTGCATTACCAACGTACCTAGAATCGCGATGACAAGAACTGGTAATATTTTTTGGTAATACAATTTTCCGGTTACAAAATCTTCGGTAACGTGCCTGTCAAAAAATCGCCTCATGAAAAGGCAGCTTTAGTGAAAAAGTGTAAATGTATCGCTATGGTCTTGGCAAAATTGTCTCATGTAAACGCATGGTTATGATTTCGTGAGCTAAAGGAGCATAAAGAACTTTCCTCTCCGACCGCTTGACACCTGAAACACAACGAACTTTTACTCTCTTTTCAATCTTTTTGTGTCAAAAAGCTTCCGATTCTGATAATTTTTTTGAGTTTCGTTATGATTTTGTTTCCATATTTGTAAAGTTGCCTATAAAAGTTACGATTACTATTTACGTTAAAGTACGTATTGGTCTAAAACAAAGAAAGCATAACGCCTTGAACTTCCTGTAGTGCATTCCATTAATTTCCGGTAGCGCATTCCACAAAAATTCCTGCATTTCCATTTAATTATGTACTAAAAGCTTTCCGAACAGTTTCTTGTTCTAGAAAATCAAAACAGCTGTGGAACAGCTGTCAAATCCATTGTATTTTATAAACCCAATAAATAACAATCTGCAATATTTTGCATCACAACAAGATTTACATATTTGCAGTTTTGCGATACTTACCTGTAAGGGCAGCGCTAAAAGAAAATGTCTGTGCGCCACGATTGGTATCAGTCGGACACGAAGGTGGTGGTAACCGTCATGCTGAAGGATGCCGTCTCCAAGAACTACAAAGTGGATGTTGAGCCGGAGCGTCTGCACATGACAGCCGATGGTTATGAGCTTGACTTACAGCTTTACCGCCCAGTTGATGTCAGTAAATCGTCGCACAAAGCATACTCAACTAAGGTAGAAATAACGCTGAGCAAAAAGGTTGGCGAACGATGGGATAGCTTGGAGAAGAAGGAGCTGCCTCCGCCTACAGCTGCTCCCCCACCAATTCACAAAAAAGACTGGGACAGTTTAGCAAAAGAAGTGGAAAAGTCTGAGGAAGAGGACTCAAAGAGTGAAGAGGCGTTGAACCGGCTCTTTAAGAAAATTTATTCCACATCATCACCCGAAGTTCAAAAGGCCATGAATAAGTCATTCTCTGAGTCTGGTGGTACTGTGCTAAGCACTAATTGGCAAGAAGTGTCCAAGGATAAAGTTGATATTAAACCGCCTGAAGGTGCAGAATTTAGAAAATGGGATTAGTTGGATAGCATAACGCATTACTTAGGCGAGCGTTGCAGACGGAACATAAAAGGATAATTCATATTTTCCACCCTCAAATTATTATATATCATTTATGAGATAACTCGATTCGTTGAATAAAGATAACTATCGCAATTTCAACGGGTTTTATTTATATCACTTTTTAAATAAAAGCACGAAATCAATTCATCAACAAAAGGCGATGTTAATATCGTTTATACCGCTTATGTACTCTGCGCTCGAATCGAGCCGTTGGCGGAACTACGAAAAAGGCGATATATCATATTTATTTAATAAAACGACAATTTAATGCGCCTGACTTGGTATCCGGAGAAGAAGACAAATCCCGAATTCGTAAGTCTTTCTATGACTGTTATGGATGCAAATTTGTTTCAAATAAATCAACATGAAGGAGTGTTCGGAAATATATGATATAGTATATATAATTACCATCTTTTACAGATCTATTCATTCGTGCAATAAACCTAAATTTTATAATTTTTATCTTCATAAAATTTAAGAATTAAATATTTCACGAGTTCTACAAAGAAATTTTCGTTTTAAAATTTGTATGTAGCGTTTTGCTTTTAAAAACGACATTAATAAACCTTAGTGGAAGGTGGCCACCTTGAACAGCTTCCTGCAAAAACCTGCAAATCGTGAACCATCTGGTACGCAACTATTATATACATGAGATGTTCTCGCATTTCAGCCAAGCTTGTTCTTCTGCTTTTGCTTCGAACTGTTATTTACAATAAATGAACTTATGTAAATTATTATTTAATAACCCAAAAGAATTTGTTTTTGTAAGTGTATATGTAACTCTTACCAAAGGTTTTTTTAAAGTAAATTTTTTATATGCACAAATTTTTTCGACAAATAATGCTAAGAAATGAAATGCTTTTAATAATAAGTAGCTTTATATTTTAATACAAAACGTTTTAGTTTTATATCTTTTTCATATTTAATTGACTAAGAAAGGACATTTGTTTTTATTTTAAAAGGGTCTCGTTTTACTTTGCTTGTTGAAAATTTTGCCGAAGTACAATTCGTAGGGAAAATGTTCTAAAATGTTTAATTTTAGGTTTGAAAATACACATTTTTGGCGTTATTTTTTTATTTCGTTTGTTCTCCTCCGTCCAAATATATTAAAAGGTTCGTTTATGTTTTGCGAATGTTTCGTCTTAAAGTCGTAAATACAAATATTGCATTTGTTACTTTGTATGAGCAAAAATTATATCAATAAATTTTGGTTTACAATTTATTTTGAATACTTGCGTTTTGCCCGTATCATTTTCTCAGTGTATGTTTGCTCGCAAAATAACATTTGTTTGTTGAATTTTATTTAGCTTTCAAAAAATTAAACTTATTGATTGACTTTTATTTATTGTTCAAAATAAAAATAGTTATTTCGTAAGCTTTACTTAAAAATCACTAACCTTAGTTTTCAGGCCAAAGACGGCGGAGCAAAATGTTGTCATTTTGGGACCTGTTTTCAGCAAAAACCAGTCGTTTTGTTTGTTTTTCGGGCGTCATTTCCTATGAGGAAGCATTATTTCCTAAACGAAAAATTTGACTCTTTTATAAGTAAGTGTTATTTATTGATAGCAAAATAAAACTCAACAAGCAAGTATTATTTTGCGAGCAAACATGGATCTCATGAAATAATTATTAAGTTTGATGAAAAGGATACAAACAAAAACATACAAATTAGATCATGATATTTTTTTCGATGTCGCTTATAACTGTTAAGATCCCTGAGCAAAACATCGAAAAGCAAAAGAATAAAGAAAGACAGAAGGTTCAAATTTTTGTCCATCGAGAAGTAGCAAAATTTACTCATTGAATGAAAATGGCTTAACTTCTGAATATGATGTGAAAAAGCGGCATCAGACTTATTGGCAGACTGGCCTTATTACAGCGCATCATATTTACTTACCAATCCCTTTAAAACAAAGACTTTAACGTAGTTAATATTTTTCTGACTTTGCCTTTATTGATTAATATTTTTGTTTTATTTTATAAATTATGGACATTTAATAAACATTTTTCACATTTGCCTTAGGTACTCCATCGAATTATCCGGGTTTTTTTTCATTTTACAACTCACATACATACATTTTTTTATAATTTGTAAGCTAGCTTCATAATACATAAGATAACCAAATTTGATTTAAATTACAGAATTTTCGACTTCGACTAACTTCTCTCTTTCCTCTCCCTAACCCATGTACATATTTGTAAATTATGTGAAGTATTTTTGTTTTTGCATTTTATGTACCTACATACGTATTTTGTTCCTTTATTTAAACGATACAAAAGCAGGGTGGTCGAAAAATTTAAAAAAGCTGACCAAAATATAAAGATTTCCTTAGAGCTCTACCATTTTAGCAACTTCTCAAAATCCAAAATGGCGGATACAATATGGCAAACATTTAAAAGGTCGTTAAATCTGCCTAAAATTTTATATCTAGAATGTTCCAAATTATGATTCCACGTCAGCTTTATTAAAATGGCAGATTTAGTATTGGTGAACATATTTTGGAAAATTTATTGAACCTTCATAAGGTCTTGTTTTTTTCATGAGATATGTATGTACATATAAATAAGAATATTTTTAACCGATTTCTCGGTCTTCTATCCTCTGTAGGGAGGAACACTTGAAACTTGACTTGAAAATCATATATCTTGCAAATGAGGAGCGCGTGTATGTAGTTACACAAAAAAACAACTTCACTTAAAAACTTGGAGAACTATAGCTTTTTGATTTCTAAGTTAAGTTTCTATGTAGTGCAAAGAACGCCGTGAGAGAATTATGCTGCCATATAATATTTCACATATTTTTATTAAAACTCCTCCGAATTTGCTACACAAATACGATTTTTTGTATAAATGAAATTCATCTGGTAACCGAAAAACAAACTTTAAAATAAGGACTGAAAATAAAATAAAAAACAATTACAGTTTGAGTGCGTAAATACATTTATTTTAATTATAATTTTGTATTTGTTTTTAAACCAAACAAATTAAATGTTTGCAATTTACGTGTACAAGTCCAAGTGCTGAGAATCAAAACAAAGAGAAATGGAAAGAAATAGGTGACACGCAGACTAATCGTTTCTAAGTTTCTAGGTAAGTCAAGTCAAGTCCAAGTCTTGCATAACCGGGCTTTAAATCATTAGAAAACTCTACGCAAATACATAGATTTTGTTAATTTTTTATTCCTCATCTCTTTGCTGCTGGCTTCTTTTGAACATTGTAATAGAACGTATTTTCAATGGCATACGCACCTTTTTAAGCTAAATTTTGCAGAATCCTTAACATTTTTGTAAATTTAACCAACCAAAGAAATGTATTTCCAATTAAATTCCACATAATTAAAAGTACTTACGTACGTATGTTTTCTTGAGGGCTGCATACTGGGCCTTATAGCTGAATAAAGGGGCTGAAAGCCTGAAAAGTGGCGGACACCTAAAACGCCTTTTGTGGAGTTCTACTCTAAGGCCGTGACTGCGTCAAAGCGTACTTTATCGGTTATGAGTGTCTAAAATTAAAAATTGAAAAAAATCTATCTTTGGTTTTTTTTTTTTGTTTGGCTTTTGGCCAGCTTTTTTGGCTTTACTACCGTTGTGCGCAGTTAACAATTGCCCGAAATTTATATTTTTATTTGAAAAATTGTTTTAATTGGTATAAACGGAATTTGCTGCTATGCTCGTGGCTTTACTTATTTGCATTTTGTCTCGATTTTCTTACATACATATATATGTATATATGTACTGACTGACATACCTATATTAACTAAATAATGACTTATCAATAATAATTAATTAACAATAACAATAATTTGTTTCTTCTTAAGAAAAATGAGTCATGTATGTATGTATGTGTTCCGATTTCAATTTTTTTTTTTTATTGTAAATTTTAATCGAATCGTTATGTGTATGTAATTTTTCTACCGAAGTACTTACATATACTTAAGTACATACTTAAATACAATATGCATGTATGCATTGAAAGTTTAATACAAATATTTCATTATTCAATCTAATATTTTGTTTATGTTGCCGGTTTTTGATCACAATTCACTTTGCATAGTTTTCGTTTGCTAATACGATTTACATACGTAATACTAATACAAACTTTTTGATTTACATATATATTTTTTTGGGGATGCATTTCCGTTATTTTCGATTAAACATTCCATGTATGGTATTGGTGTAATTTTAAAAATTTGTATATTTTTTTTATT